AATACTTCTACAGCATTTATTAATATCAGTAAATATCAATTTCAACATTTTTAAAAACATTTTTAAAATCAACATTTGCATCTGGTAACATTAGCTAAAGCACCGTGAACTAACTTGACCAAACCTTATAAGAATGTACCCTAATATTAACAAATTAGACTATATTGTATAGTGTTACCAATATACTATGCTATTTTATGCTCACCAAGGCTGCATTTATTTGATAAAAAATACAGTAAATAATACAGTACTACTGTAAAACAGTAATTAAAAAGAAATATTTTGTAAAATTATAAATGTCTTAGCTGTCACTTTTGATTAATTTATCTTTTTGTTTTTCAATTATTTATTGAAGGATCATCCTTCATCCTCATGCTGAAAGTATTCATTTATTTCAAAGAAAAAGAAGATATTTTCTTTTTTAATTTAGTTTTTTTAGTTTTTTGTGGTTAATGTATTGGGTAACACTTTACAATAAGGTTCCATAAGCTAATGTTAGTTAATGTATTAACTAACATGAACCAACAATGAACTGCACATTTCTTAAAGTATTTATTAATCTTTGTTAATGTTAGTTAATGATAATACAGTCGTTCATTGTTAGTTCATGTTAATTTACAGTGCATTAACTAATGTTAAAAAGCACAACTTTTGATTTCAATAATGCATTAGTAAATGCTGAAATTAACATCAACTAAGATTAATAAATGCTGTAGAAGTATTGTTTATTCTTAGTTCATTTTAACTAAAGTAGTTAACTAAACTAATGAACCTTATTGTAAAGTGTTACCATGTATTGTTTGGTTTCTTTCTGTCTTTCTTTCTACTCTTAAGCTGAAGTTCTTATAATAAATGAACCTAGCCTCGCAAATTAGGTAAAAACTGTACAAATCTGTTAAATAGTAAGATATGCAAAGCCGTAGACAGTTGTGCTTGCTGATTTGAGGACAAGTACTAAAACTGGAAAAATGTGCCAAATCATCTGAGAAATCCACAGTGTTTTGTTCACCAAGCATCACATTCTGAAGTGTAAATGTTTCCTCTTGAAACACTGTTTGACAGCTGTGTGGCACACTTGAAAGAACAGGACAGACTGAAGAATTATTTCCAAAACTGTGATCAAAATGAGATGTTCTAATTCATTTAAACTCATAACTTCCTTCTAGACGCACAAAACAAAACACAGTTTGTCTAACAGCTTGTTGCAATATAAGATGTAATATAAGGAGTAATGACTTACCGTAAACAAGCCAGAAGAGGTGCTAATGTTAACCCAGAGAAAAAAATATCTAAATATTAAGCTAGTCAAATCACATTTACATACCTCAGTATAATAATCATTTAAAAAAATGTAAATTATAATCTTATGGTAATAATAATCTTAATTTAATAATTTAAATAATAATTTAAATCAGGGGTTCTCAAATCTGGCCCTTGAGGTCCACTTTCCTGCAGAGTTTAGCTCCAACCCTAATCAAACACACCTGAACAAGCTCATCAAGGTCTTCAGGATCACTAGAAAGTTAAAGGCAGGTGAGTTTGATCACGACTGGAGGTAAACCCAGCAGGAAAGTGGACCTTGAGGGCCAGAGTTGAGAATTTAAATAATTTGATTTAAATAATAATCTTAATTTAAATAATAATACTCTTATAGTCACAACTCTATTTGGTGGTCACCAGAGATACAGAAAGGGTCACAAAATATTTCTATGATTTGAAGTTTCGAATAATATTGACTGAAAATTCAACTTGTTATTCTTAAGAAAATGAGTCGCTAATTTTAAATATTTGTTAGTTACTACACTTTAGAAAATGGATTGTGGACCAAAAAAGTTGGTCTAAACCTCTTTGAAACCCTTGGGTGTAGAGGTTTTTAACAAATAAAATAAAATGAAATGAAATAAAAATAATAAAATAGAATAAAATAAAATCGCAATTATTTTCTAAATTTGTAGAAATCCAATTTAATGCAAAATGATAATTAACATTTAAGAACTGCTTATGTTAACTAGTCAATGGGGAAAAGAAAAAAAAAATGTTTTTTCCTGTTAAGGTACAGGTATATACACAAGTAAAAACTGATGGCCACTGATCTAGAATCTTTAAACTATGTCTAGACTGTGACAGAAGACATTTCTAAATGTTTTGGCTTTGTTAGGTTAATTCAAATGTCTGTAGAGGTGTGCTTTCAAAGACCTGTGTCTTTCCATGTGTATGACACACAAACAAGGAAAAATACCAACTACACAAACTCTGTTTTCTCCTCCTCGGCAACAATGAGAGCAAAAATGTGTGAATTTCTAGACAAACAAACAAACAATGGCTGGGAGACTTTTCCCATCATCGGTAGGAGGAAAACATTTTGATTTTTTCCATCTAAACAGATAGCAGGTGGAGAAATGAAAGGCATCACACATCTTTTATAGAGCCAAATGACACCAGCAGGAGTGGCTTTGATGTCGCAGCATCGTTCAACTAGCAGAAACAATAGCATCTTCCTCTGCCAGCATGCATCTGTCTCTCTGCTGACGGAAATGGTTAATTGAGATAGGAGAGACATATTCCATAGTGACTCTCCTGCAGATAATCGCAGTCCCAGACATAAATACTCTTAGATGGCATCACACCAAAGTCTCTTAGCTTAAGTAGTAAACAATTATATTTAACAAGTACATGTTGCCCTCCTAATTCAGTAATAACGACTGTGTTCGGATGTAAATATCCACCTAAAATCTTGTCAGTGACTATACGAGAGACTCGGTTGTTATACCCCCTGAAACAACCTTAACGTACTGCTCCTTCATCCATTTTAATGATCCTTATGTGCTGATGGCGGAGACTAATTATTGCCCATTATAAAACTCAACAGCAGTGATAGAGAAGAGAGGAGCGGAGCTGGTGGGACGGGTATGGCTGTAGTCTGGAGCTCTGCTTTATCTGCGCACTGATGAATAAGTCTAATCTATCATATGTCTGGGAAAGCCCCAAGGCCACCAGAATGAAAAGCTTCCATAGAGTAAGCGAGCAGCAGTGTGTTCATGTGTGAACTGTGACTATAAGGATCACCAAACTGCATGCGCGTGTATTGTTAGCACTGAATAATGGGAGCTCCATGGGTGTAAACAGGGCCTAAAATTAACACTCGCCAAGCACCAAATGCTTGAGTTGGAAAGTATATGAAACAGTGTTACTCATCAGTTGGCTGATAACTTTTTTATTAATTCTAACAATGCCAAAGTATGCGAAATGGTTTAAAAGAACGATTATCAAATTGCAAAGACGGCATTGAAATTATATAAATATGTAATCTGATGTTATGTCCTGTGAGCAGCTGTGAGTGTTTTCAGTGTCTCTGAGCGGTTAGCAGTAAATGCTGCTCCACACAAACTCCATCTCTGCAAGTCCTGTGAGATTGAGTCGCATATACCATGCATTTGAAAATGACACTTGCCCAAATCATCTTCCCAAACTTGTAATGAGTGTAATTCATACATCTGTTGTCAACAAAAGAAGCATTTTAAAAGAGAAGTTCCCTGCGTTTTCCCCGCCAAAATAAAAAATCTTTGGCTTAATGTTTTTTAGCAAAAAAAATATATATATATATATTACTATTGTAATTTTACCATTAGTTAAAATAATAATAATAATAATTATTATTATTATTATTATTATATAAATTAAAATTATTATTATAAAATACTCATAGTATATAATATTATAGTGATATTTCTTTATTGATTTGTTAAATGTTTATGACTAAATAATACCAATAAATAAACAAACTGATAGGGCAGCGAGCCAACAAGTCTGCTGCCTGAGCTTTCGGACGCAGCTTTTATGTTCATAAACATGCTGTAAGCAAGCTAAAATGTTCATTAATTTAGAGCAAAGGTGCCCAATTCTGCTCCTGAAGGGTCGCCATCCTGCAGAGTTCAGCTCCAGTTGGATATTGGATATTGGATATATAATTATGCAAGCTCATTTCCTATGTTTAAAGTTAATCTTTAAAGACATAAAAATTTTATAACACTTTTAAACTATCATTAGCAGATGAATATCCCTTTTTCATGCAATACATTATAATGGTTTGATGCCTAAAGTCACTTTTAGCTTTTAAAAAAAAATTTTTTTACATTTGTTTGTTTTTTTGTTTGATAATATTGTTTTACTTTTAATTTATTTAGAAAAAAAATAATATTGCACATTACATGAAAATAATTATTGGATTGTCGATACTGGTCAGCAGCTTTAAATGTTTTTACATTTAATTATTCCATTTCTGTATTTTATTTATATCTTTCTTTGATTGAATTTGTCCTATTATTTGTTATGTGCATCTTTGATCTAAGTTTTATATTGTAACATATACCATTATTGTGAAATAAAATTACTTGCAAAGTGTTAAAAAAAAATTTTTTTACATTTGTTTGTTTTTTTGTTTGATAATATTGTTTTACTTTTAATTTATTTAGAAAAAAAATAATATTGCACATTACATGAAAATAATTATTGGATTGTCGATACTGGTCAGCAGCTTTAAATGTTTTTACATTTAATTATTCCATTTCTGTATTTTATTTATATCTTTCTTTGAATTTGTCCTATTATTTGTTATGTGCATCTTTGATCTAAGTTTTATATTGTAACATATACCATTACTGTGAAATAAAATTACTTGCAAAGTGAAATAAGATTTTGGTCAAATAGTGCACCCCTACAATTACATCATAATAAAATAATGACAATTAAAATATTGTCCAAAATGTTAATATCAAGTGCATCCCTACATATTGTGATTCACTCACATAAGGTTGGCTACTTTTCTGGAAGACAAGTACAAGGCAAGTAAAAATGAGTAGTCATACAAGCCCTACACCATAGCAGATTTGGTGGATTGTACTGAAATTAAGAACTAATTATTGTCTGATCGATGCATTAATGCATTAATGAGCTCAAGACGTTCAACCTCTATGCAGGTGTGTGCATATACTTTGTCTTACCTCAGTGTGAACTGCTCAGTGGCGGCAGCAGGATTCATTAGTACTTGAAATCCCACTGTCTGTCCCTGTTTAACTGGGCTGGGGGGTGCCAGAATCTCGACGTCTCCATCCAGTCTAAGTCTGTTTCTGGGTGCTTTGTTGTCCCCAGTGGCGAGAGTCACCGTCCCAATCCTCTGCATATCCCCTTCCTGCCCTACAGCCTTTCCTTGCACCCTACCCGCTACACACTCTTTCCCCTGGGCCTCTGGAGGAAGGATGGAGTAGTGCAACTCCACCGTGACAGGAACGGGCTCCTGTGTGCGCCTACGTGGCGGAGGAGCGTTGAACCAGGTCGTTGGGATGCCAAGCTGGGCTACACAGATCCCCATGTTTCCCTCCAGTCGGCAGGCGGTTGATACAGAGCCTTCCCCTGGATCACGGAACCCAACGACACGGATACACGGAAGCAGTTCCGTGGCAGGATCCACATCCTCCCACCTGCGGCCCGCCAGATAAAACAACACCTGGATTTGAGGTCGATCGACTCCTATCCTCCTGCCTACCAGGTGCGCTCTCACCTTCCAGCCCAGTGTGAGGTGTGTAGAGGTGTGGAAGGAACGTGGCAGCGCCCCCTGGAGGAGCTCTGGTGGTACTGGCGCCTCTGCGGTGAGGTTGCCATAGCTACAGTTGACCGACAAGAGGGGAGCAGGGCCAGCATCGGGCAAGTGGAGAAAGAGAGGCTCACTGCGTGTCTGCAAGCTCCCGTTACGCATCACATCCTGTGTGGCCTCCCGGAGAAAGAAGGATGACTCTGCACCCTGCAGTTGGCAGGACACAGGGAGGTACGTGGGCAAGGATGAGGAGAACCTGGGCACGAGATCGCTACCTCCGCCCCTGCTTTCACACACTGTGGAGAGACAAAGAGAAAGAGATTTAACTGTATGTTTATTTAATTTCAGAGACACTACAGATGTTATTACAAGGAAAATTGCTTTCAGTTATAATTTAAAGTGTCCCCTGATTTTTGTTTTATCTCATTTTACGAGAGCATTTATTTACAAAGAAACAAATGAAATTAAGGCCAAGGTTCTTTGGAAAGATAATTGTATAAGTGTGTGTAGAGAGCAAGTCAATGTTCTGAGTGAATAGCAAGAAGAGTTCAGCAAGAATAAAGACAAAGATTTAAAGAGAAAATGTTATTATATGTACACTATCATTCAAAAAGTTGGTGTATTATTTTAATTTAAAATAACTGTTTTACAATTTAATATATTTTTAAAATGTAATCTATTCCTGATGGCAAAGCTGAATTTTCAGCAGCCATTACTCCTGTCTTCAGTGTCACATGATACTTCAGAAATTATTTATAGAAATTCTTCATATATAGATTTGGTGTTGCTTATTATTGTCAATATGTTGATAAAAATGGGTTTTTCCTAATATTTTTGTGGAAACTGTGATACTTTTTTCAGGATTCTTTGCTAAATGGATTATTTGAAAAACAGACATTTATTTAACAAATGTAAAATAATAATAATAATTATTATTATTATATATAGTATATAAGTCAAGCAGGTTGTGTACTTCTTTGAATGAGAATTGCCAATTTGTGCTTTTTTTACAACCTGCTTTTTCTTTAATTAACCTGCAGAAAATTATGTAAATGTGCTCATGAATACATAAAAAGTCCTAAAAACATACTTTAAAGTAAAGGATCCCACCTATGAATATGCTATTGTGGTAAAAATAATTGTGATATATCTATATAGTGTATGAGTGTATTATCACAACACTACTTTTATCCAAAGTGACTTATGTCGAACCTATGACCTTGACATTGCTAACACCATGCTCTACCAGTTAAGCAACAGGAATCATTTGAAGCCCTATGGCTCACATTTGCACAATTGTTTCCACCTCTACTGGACAGGATATGACACTGCAGTGGCTTTGTGACTACGTGTCTCTTTGTGAGTGTCAGGGTGTAACATTGATGGTGGAAAGGCCTCTTTTTGTGCTCAGGGACAATTTATTTGAACTCTAAAAACATGACCCAAAAAGTCAACAAGTCATCACTGAAATTGAAATCTGTCATTTAGCGGACATTTTTATCCAACAAAAAAGTTCCCACAGGAGCAACTCAGGGATAAATGCCTTGCTCAAGGGCAGAATGGCACTACAGCGGGACTCTGACCTCTGTAAAATCCAATCCCAGAACAACTGCAGGATCAGACACCAATCTGTTCAGCTGCAAGACCACAACTTTACTCCACTACCACTATGCTATGCTAGCATTCTTGACCAAGGAGATGCAGTCATAATAGCCAAACTTTTGAGCTGCAGCATAAAGTTTGAAAGGTCAGAAAGTTTGTACTACTCTAGTACACAATCTATTAGTATCTCAACATTTAAGCACAAAGAAATTTGGTATGGTAGCACTATATTGCTCTCACAATATTAACCCGATATCTTTTAAACACGATTTTGTTGCTAACTGAAACCTGTGTGCCATAACTCCCAGAAGTTGCATTGCAGTCATGCAATCTGATAGGAGCAAATGACATTTTTTTGAGAAAAGGTATTTATGCTACATTTGGAAGCTCTATTGCATCTGTACTCACTCATGGTTAATTGAAGCATAAAGTCAATCCTTCACCTTTCTCTAAGGATACCTCTATCATTGTAAAATCCCTCAGCACATGTTTGCATTTTCCTTTAAGGCTGTGAGGGAGCTTATCAGGTCTCTCTGCCAATCAAATGTAATACAGTCTGCCAAAAAGACTGAGTGTGCCAAATGCTTCAATGAATCAGACCCTAAATTTACAGTTCTTTCCTGTTATAATTTTAGATCTGTACTGATAGAGCCAGTATGAGGCAAAATGATGCTCGAACAGACAAGCGCACACATGCCATGTGCCGCATTTGCAACATAAAGGTAGCTGATGATTAAGTAAATGCAAGACCGAGCACAATTTAATATGCAAATAAATGCAAAAAAGAAGACCAATTGCAATGCAAATATTACAATGACATCCATGACAGTTGAAACATTCTTACAATCTGAACCAAAAACAAAAAATAGCCCTGTATTTTAAGTGATCTGAACTGAAATAATCACAGACAATTGTGGAGAAAATGAAGAAAATGTAGAAAATTTCAATACAGTGCTAGGTTATAGCTACATTTTTTCCCACATTTGTTTCTTGAGTTTCATTTAAGTTCACAAAAACTTGATAAATCAGAGAACAGGAGAACTAAGCAATATCACACACATTTTACACAGAAAGAGTTTCGACCTCAGCTCATTATAAGCCAATATAAGATGATGAAATACACAATCCCAGTATTTCAATCTTTTGTATTTTTGTATTTCTCATTTGTTTTCTCTCTTTTACAGTGAAACAACAGATTTCGTGCTGATTCAGAGAGTCTCATTTGCATGTTTTGAAACAGTGACAGAATGGAGAGCAACAGAAACTCAAGCAGCTGCCTGGAATAGAACCAGAGGTTTATTGTGTTACTTTATCTCTCTCACGCTCTCTCTCTCCTCAGGTAGCGGAGTGAAGCATAGTAAAGGTGTGAAAATATAATGAAGATTTGGTATGGCGCTGCGTCTCACAACAAGAGTTTAAACACATAATAATCCCTTCAGAGAGAGATATACCTTCAGCGATTCATTTCAAATCAACACTGAGACAAAACATACGTGAGGCCTTGTGGACCCAGTGTCTTGAGGAAGAAGAGAGGCCGATGACGAGAAAGAGAATGAATGAATGATACAACAAGCAAAGTAAATTTTCCGGGTTCAAAAGCTAATAAACAAAATAATTTCAACTCGTCCCTTAGTTTAAAAACAAATTGCAGACACAGAAAGGTACTTGCAATATTGAGAGCCAGGCAGGAGTCATTAAATATTTCAAAACCTGATTTTTTTTCAGTGAAATGTAGAAATAAATGAATAAATGAATGTATAAATAAATAAATAATAACTTAAAATCAATTAAATTAATTAAAATAGAAAAAATTTATTAAAATAGTAAAATGAGGGAAAATGTCACAAAATTACTGTACAATTACTGTATAACATTTAGAAATAACATTTCTAAATGTTATTATGCTTGAATTAGAAAATACTCCCCCTCATTACTATACAAACAAGGAAATGTAGAAATAAGTAAACGCATGTATGTGTAAAATGAATGTGTACAAATAAAATAATACAATTAAATAATGCAGAAAAAATTAAATGCTAAATCACACACAAGTTTGTAAAAGTGTAAATCCCTCATTTGAAAATGTATTTATTCTTATGTTATTTATAGATTTCTATGCAAAAGTCACATTGGCAGATTCGGTCATCCATACTAAGGGTCGACCGATATGTGTTTTTCAAGGCCGATGCCGATACCGATTAATCAGGAGCGCTTGTCCTCCTAATTAAAAAAATTAAGGAGCACTTTCTGATCAATAATAAAAAATTCTGATAAAAAATTAGCCTTCCTTATACGAGGTGACATGTGACTCCTTAAAGTGACTTACAGGGGTATTTTCTTTTTACCTTTGCAATGGCATCCTTTTCATCTGTCAAATTCAAAATTTAGGTTAATAAGCTTTAAAAATTTCTATTAAAACCAAAATAATAAGTAGTAGAATAAGACAAATAAGTTACCAATCATATGAAATTAGTATTAATAAAAAATTTATTTGTACTACAAAGGGTGCACAGAACACAAAAGTGGCATGTAGGTAGGTTTTCAGATGTTTAATGAGGCTCAGAGGTAATTAAATTCATAAATTCATGTGGAGATTAATGTTTTAAATATAAAATTTTGAATACAGAAATATTAAATGATTTAAATAACTGAAATTATACCTAAAAATGAAACAAACCACCAGCAGGTGGCAGCAAGTCACTAATTTTATCACTGAATCATTCATTCAATTGATTCGTTTGAACGGCTAATTCATTCAGGAATGAAGCAAGTGACTGTCTTTATGAATGGGTAAT